AAACATCTATGTATTTCGAAAAATGCTCAGGGCGTATGTTCGTCCTCATGTCGAGTAGGCATGTTAAGCCTGGCATCCATGTCTGAAGCAGGACTTTCCACAATGGAGCGAGTAAAGCGGAGCATCTAAGAACCTGTTTGCAATGCGAATTCTTTCATACGACGGGAGGCTGAAACGATTGGGGTTTTTAGCGGTGAGTATTTCAGAAAACGGGACGATCTGATTACAGTATACTTGATTCCGTAATTCTCACATAAAGTTTACCAAGTATACCCGATAAAAGTTTGGTGAGCCTTTGTTTCTTTGGGAAGCAGCTAAACCACCGCATTCTGTTTACTAGATATTAGACTAAAGCACTAGAGTTTGACCAATTTGTGGTGCTTTTTACTTGGATCGGTGGCGATCTACTACCTGGAAATAAGCAGTGAACCAAAAGTTAGCATGACTTTACTTGTGCACCTATTGGAACGTAACGCAATAACCCATGCACTATGCTTCTTATCTAACCACAACGCAAAAATAAGTGTAGTAAATGCTTCAGTATGATGCAGCTTGTTTTGCAACACTTCTACAATGAAAGGGAATTGTAAAACTAAGCAGTCGAAGAACCAATTACTTTCCAATTAGAAACCGTGCTCTAAAACTATTCGAAATAGAATGACATGCTTTGACTAACAAAAATTCCCATTCAAATCGTGTAAATTTAAATATAGCGGAAGTGAAAATGACACTGCAAACCAGACTATATTCGGTCACATGCAGCGCACTTGGAACGCGCGCACAATTTGCATCTTCCTGCTGTTTGCAACCTGCGGCAACCTTACAGCGTTGATTCAGTTTGCAAAGTCCAGTGCAGCGGTGCATCAAAACCAACTAGTTCCCATCACATAAACTAAAGTTCGGCCTTGGAGCAGGGCGGTTAATGCAGGCGTAGGACTATCATTGCAGAGAAAGCTACCCTAATGGTACAAACTAGAAAAGTTTGTCAGCATCCGAGACCGCGCTCCCACATTAACTGGTTTTGCTCAACAGCGAGTCTGTGGTTCATGATACCCTGTTTACAGGAATACCGAAGGACATCGTTGCTACTAGGCTAGCCAAAACAATAAAAGGATGCGTCATCAAATACACAAAAGTACGACACAAATAAGACATATATGTATGTGCTTGTGAGAAATGCCTTGACTGCGACGTCAAAAGATAGCCCTCGTTTATCCAGAATTATGAACCCCAGGAGCGATTAATAGTTGATGAAGATAATATAAGCTAACGTGCTAGGGTCAACTGCAAAGTTTGCATTGAATGGCTATTAAAGAGCCTTAAGTAATCTAACTCTGTTACGTAGGAATTTGTAAGAGTAGCCCAACCTTAATGCGTAAGCAACAACAGGGAGAGTATGCTACAAACAATCGATGTTTACAGGTAAACAGGTGGGATTTAAATTACATCCTAGAGAATACTTTAGTTAAAACTAAAAAGACCATGGGTACGGGTTTCAACCAATAACTAGTCTGTAGCTCGATGCCTGCGCGGTGTGTCGCACTTAAACCATTGAGCACCAAATGGATGTTTCCTCCGCATCCGTACGTTTTAGTTCGCTGGAACGGCTGACTGAGTGACGATGATCCACAAGCTTCATCACTCTGCGCCCAAGGAGACCTACACTTTAAGTGAAGTTAATAGCCAAGCACTTATAATGCGGGCAAGCAAGCCATGTTGTCTTATGTAACAGACATTGCTTTAACAAATTCGAAAGAGGGCTACTACAGGTAAAGTTTCGGAAAGGAGAGGAAGCGGAGGCCATTCTCTTTTTAGCTCACAGCCTTGGTAAGCTTTCATTCAATATTCTTATCTTTGCTTGCAACTATTTTAGTGAGCGCAAGCAATGGAAGCGAGACTCAGCTGAATATAACAAGTAAAAGCAATAATTCAAATTTCCTCCAAGGTGGTTCACTGACGAATACCGGGTTCCCAATCTATTGCTTCCTGATGTCCAAGGCATGCTACACGTAGCCATGGGTGAACGTCCTAAACTGCATGACTGGTAGTTGACTACCATATAGCGTGTCTCAACCTCGTCGGTTATTTGTCAGTCATGTTGGCTCACTGGGGTCATCCATGGTTAAAGGGCACAAACTGCTGTAGTACAGACGCCTTGGTCTAGTAACATGGACCTGGCACTTGGAAAGACGTACGAACGGCAGGACTAAGAGGTCGAAACAGCCCATAGGTGCTTTTGCAGACGTGTGTGAAACTACGAGACAGAGAAAAGCTGCAAACGACAGCATGTAAATTTACGCAGAAACATCTGAAAACATTAAGGTGTTCTTACAGCGCAGAACTAGTAAATGGATGCCTTTGAAGAACTAGGCCTGGGCCGCACACGAAGCATCTCCTGGGACGTATATGCAACACAGAGGTACTACAGCAACAAACCCTTCCGTGAGGATAGAGCATAGTGTTAGTCGATTCTTGAGATTCAGTATTCCGTTGACTTGAACCAGCTTTACAGACAAGTGACAAAAGATCTTGGAGTTCAGCACCGATTACATGCTCCGAACCTAGTATGCGCGTTAGTGAACACAGTAGAAATACCTACCCCAATTCTTAGACAACGATCTAACCGTTACTAACAAAACATATCGTCAACTTAAATCCCGCCAAGGCCGATCATGTTGCCAACGATACTTAAAAATGTATTCATTTCAACGGCAGGATTACTGAAATGCTTAATATCTATGAACTAATTATTCGCCCCTAGTAACAGCGGCATTCATACAAAGAATTTAAAAATGGCTGTCGTTTGTTTACTGTACTGTATGAATATTACCCTAAAGCTGCTTTAACAGCATGCATAAGCCAACGATGTAGAGGCTGATGTTAATACACTAATTTAAAAAAGTAACAGTTGCAGATTGGGCGTATTAGCACCCGACATCAGTATTTCAAAGATTATGGAGTTTGTCATCGCAGAAGTTGCAAAAAATAATTAAAGAGCAATAAGTTTGTCCAGGAAAATCACGGAAAGTCGGTTTGGTCATACAAATCTGCTGCTAGCCACAGTATACTGTTAGCACTATGTGCATGCTCTTCTTGAAGCAGGTGCGGTTTATGTTTATTTTGAGTACCTGCTTCTAACTTCGCAATCCTCATAACTATAAAATTTGGATCCCTTTCAGAGTGAGGAGAGCCACTTTCTTCTTTAAGGTTGTCAGTGTTTGAGGGTACATTGTACCTACTTCGATCAACTGAAAGTGTAGTGTGAAATGACCTAATTCTAGATACTTGCGTCCAGCCCATTTGTAATCTGTATAACTGACCTTATGATAGTGCTTTTTTCGGAATTCGGTTGTTGGCCGATGAGGCTAAGTTTGGCAAGTTATCATAAAAATGAGGACGACACAGCAATGGAGAGTTTTCTAGATAAAGTTTACACATCCTTAACCAAAGTTATGCTCCGGAACAATGCTACCAACTGCGCAGTTATGAGCGTACCATCAGAATAACTACGATCTGTGACAAATGCCACACATGCCGCAGCTCGCTCCGCATGAGTGCGATCTCGGCGTGTTTGCGCAAAACGAACATGGTTGTTTGGGGAATAATATAAAGCAAATTAGCACTTCGGCGGCCACAGTATGAAAATCGAGAATTTCTAATTCTCCGCTACTAGCAAATACTCCACGTACATGAATCCGCACTCGGAATAGGCCATTCAAGCATGTTTATCGTGGTCGAGGCATAACTTAACTGAGTCTGGCACTGCTTCACGCAGACCAGCGAAATATGTCAGAGGTTTGCCTAACTTTCTATTACACTCTGGCTAATGTACTAAAAGTGTAAAGCGGAATTTATTCGCGACTACTGGGCGATCTGAAGGTGCCTTAATTATTAAAGTCACAATTACACGTGCACTCATCCCTGAAAATAGGCCAAACCTCATATCTGAAATGCCATCAGTGTATGCCACCTACGCAGTAGAGCCGACATGAACGTCGAAGCGATACACCATCTTGGATCACCTCTTATCCCACGTAATAATTGCCCCAAATCTCTCACCGTCCAAAAACTACATGCCGATATATTGGTACCTTTAATCTGTATGAGATAGCTAATGACAATTAGATGATGACCTGTGTAAACAGCAACTGGCGGACAGTATCATAATATTCTCACACTACAAGCACGAATCTTATATCCTGTTCCGCTGCAACCCGTTTAATGAGTCATGCGACGCGTCGGTTATTCAAAAGAAAATATATTGCCTTACAATGTTCATCCTAACCATTCTACTGCTTTTGCAAATCATTTGTATTTGTACAGCTCCTAAGCCATTGCACCCTGCTACGAACTTGCAAATTGTGCGTGTTTTGGATGCAGGAATGTATATTGTTAACGTGAAACATATTTGGTATCGATCGGACGTCATCGAAGCAGAAAATTTGATAGACGGACGGTCAATATATTTTTGAAGATATACATCGTTTCGCTTTTGAAAGAGAAACTTCATCAGGTCTTCATCTGGCATATCGTTTACGATCAAGTATTCAACAGCGCACCTGATGCAGTTCAGTAAACGAATGAGAATCGCTTTGTGTTGAAGGAAATCTCAGTTCAATAGCCCTTTTATTTGTCCACACTAATGCCATGGTTGCAACCGCAATTTGAAACAAGTTAATTTTATTACCTCAAGCCCTCTTTTGCGAATTAGCTAAGCAAATAAAGCACTCGCAAATGTGCATGACATGAGGGACAAATAGACTAAAGTTAGTTTACTCAAATGTTTTGTCAAAATGGATATGGTTCCTAAAAATCAGAACGAAATAAATATGACTTACTCGTATAGCATCTACAACAACTATAGGTAAAATGAAGTGAACTTCCATTGTGTAGAAAGCATACATGATACATTTTGAATAAAGTCCTGAGGTCCATGCCTAAGGTTGTCAATTACTCATATAGTTAGTTATAGGGCTCCTAAATTCACCTTATCACTGAATTTACTCACCTCCTTCTTCTTTCATAGTTGCTGCAAATGAAATTTTTGCACACGTTTAAGAACTAGGCAACACAAATGTTTTAATTAAATGCATTTCATAGTATCTAATGACAGCTAATGTACTACCAATGTTCAGGGATTTTTTAATTAAAAGGATGAATCAACGTTTATTAAGCAACCAATTTTGCTGTCCATTTTTTCCTATTTACCGTTTTCATATTACTCCCAAGACAGATTTGAGGTACGTTATTTGAAACCACAATACTTTATTCTAAGTCGCCTAAGGCTAAGTTGCCCTATACGTTGCTCAATAGCACAAAAAGCGTTCGCCTGCTAAGACATATATAGTTCTATGGAAAGCGGACGGATCAATAAATAAAGGTGGAGAAGGGTATCCAAATAAATATATCACAGACCGGTTTCTAATATTCCCTCTGAAAAATTTACTTTGAGATAATACCTCATTGATGGTATTTGGTAAAATATAATATATAAGCTGCTTTTTATGTGGCTATAGAGATCTACCATTTCCATCGCGTTAGGCTTTAAATAAGCTTTGTTCTCAAAATGCCTTATATAAAGTTAAGAATCGATTTGTTCAATTTGACCAAGTAGGACAGCAATGCGACACTCTCTAACGGAAAAACACTGTGACAATTATTGCTCGTTAATTTGTTATCTACTTTTATGGAAGCTTATGGTCCAAGTAAAGTGCTTTCAAGTAAGACTTAGAAGTAGCTCCGGGCAATGTTTGTATGATCGGTAAGATACATTCATTCCATTTCAGCTGTGGTTGTGGTTGCAGCGGCCCACCTGTGTACACAAACTTTTCACACCGGATTAGTGGTGGAATAGTTTAGAAAACCATCTGTCTCCTTACACAACTCTGCATAGGGAACATTCTCACCAATTCAACAAGAAAAACAGTCCGAGGATCATTGCATTTTTAGTTACTCATCTAACGGCTGGCACAATCATATAACGTTAAAATACAACGGGATGAAAAATCCTTGGTACGAATGGTTGTTCTGAAGCGAGTTGGTCAATATTTAAGCACCAAATAGCTCGTCAGTCTCTTATTCTCACAGATCAATTGTGGATTACGTACGCACAATGCCTTAGCCGATGTCAGGGTGACTGCTTGGCTGCGGTTACTTTGGCCTAAGCGGTTGAACCAACAACTGTTGCGAGCACAGTGAGATTGGTGTATGTTGGTTCCAATAGCCTCCTCCTAGCCATTAGCTAAATACTAGCTCAGTGATTGTGATCACCTAACCCGCAATCGATCTATGTACATGTAACCACGGCAACTACTCACTCTCTAACCACCTACCAAAACAATTCAGAACATACCTCAGAACGAATTGCTCTTTTCTCTTTGTATTTCAAACTTTTATCATCGTACCAGCCCGTTAATGCGTTCCGGTAAACAAATGTTTGCCCCAGATTTGTGTTCTTGATAATCTGCATATTGTAAGCACTTTGAGTCGATAGATTATGCAGAGTCCTCATTTGATACTCTCCAAATATGCTCAAGAGTAGTACATTACTGCGCATCACATTCAACTCAAGGAAAAATTATACTAGCTTACAGAATAGAGTACTCAATGGTATCAAAGAAAAAGCGCATGTCCTGCTCAAGAAAGCTATTTAAACTAAATAGCAGAGCAGCTTATCTAATGATCTAAACGGTTAACCGATTTTAGGAGATTCACGTGCATAGATGTTTTATCGCTGGAGTGTCATGAAACAAAGTAAAGACTTCTCGTAATATATAAGTACGTGTTTCGTAACTACTGTTAATTGAAGCCGCATGGCCCGAGGCTTGCAGGCGTGCAACATTCAATTGGCCATTATCTCATGAATAATGAGAGATTGCACTAGGTGCAACACAAGTTGGCAGGTTCAGCGTTTGCCTTAACTATTAATTTCAACCAATATAATTTTTCTGATTAACGGTATGTCAGATTTCTTCGATGTTTGCTGAGGTTGTCAGATTAGTTACAATATCTTGTCTTAACTCAAGGTTATATCATCAGTTTAGAGTAAGGTGTAACGTGGACGCAATAATCACAACGGCCGTACTCCGTATCCGACTCGTGAACAACCAGCAGAACAACCAGCTGCACCGAGGATGTAAACACAATTTGTCACAAAATATCAAAATAATTGCCAAGCTCCATGAAAATCTTTGTAATAACGATAAATGCTTGTTTTGCTTTCGTTGTTGCTAGTAATGAGCCTATAGATTCAAAACCGGAGAGCAACCTCTATACAACCCGCTAATAATTTGTCGACAATTCCCTGCGGCTTCTTTTGCGTTGTTGTGCCTATTGCCTTAAAGTAATGACGCCAAACAAAGAAACACTGCGTGCGCAGTGGCGTGGCCTATTTGCACTGCAAGTCCAGGCTTAAGAGTTTGGCTGTTTGTAATATAGGTGCCAACTAAAAGAAAAATTAGTGCACACGAGAAGCACTGGTGCACTTTGTGAGGACGGCACTTTTACGGATCGTGATTCATCTAGGTACTATTTCCTATTCGACAATTAATGGTGCGATGCTGAGAAAATTATCAGTGGCAGGTGTCATCTGATAAGTATTTGCAGCTATTCCACCGTGTTCTGATAAGGCGGTTTCCTCAACTGATACTTTAGGACCATTGCACATCTAAGTATTTACCCAGCGACGAATTAAAAATACATCCTACGGTGGGTGGCCTTCCGCCAGTCTGCATAGTAAAAAGTGGAATTCAGTCATGAGCAAAATATCGCTGTATAGAGATAGATGAAGTCTCATTTCAGGCAACAAAATATTACTTTATGTGAGTTCATGAAATGTTTGCCCTTTTAATAATCTAGCATACATTTAATTAAGAGAACATTATTTGCTTTGTCGTAACCGACACGTGATTAGTTCCAATTGGCGAAAATTATAAAAGGCGGACGTTTATGCCAAATAATAACAGCCGAACAAACATAAGTGGATGGATATGGCTGCAAGCTATTTACTAGTCATATGTGACGTTTTCGTGTGGCCAAAACATCAGCGCAGCGCTTGTAAGCAGTTATATTCCATATTCAATAGTTCATAAAATCGATGTTTGCAGTTTGTCTAATTCCAAAATATTAGAAATACGCTGCTGTCCAAATGCAAATTGTCATTCAAGTGTTTCTGAATTATGTATTTTAGAAAGTTACCCAATTTATGTCCACTTGAAATGCAGACTATTGGAGCAAGACCTTGCTCTATTTGTGAAATCAGGAACAAGTTATCTTGTCTCTTCCAAATGCTTATTCATATGTTTTTACTCAATCCGTTGAATCTGTTGATATAGTAAGTATTATAGGCTGTCAAATCTCGCTTATAATAAGGAACATGCATATATCTAATAAGTGTTATGTTGTCTACAATTGCTGATGTGGCGTCAGTTACCGGAAGATTGCTGACTGAATTCAGCTTAGGTGCGGTCCGCGTGTATGTCATTTATGGAAAACCCTGGTAGCTCAAAGTAAACCCTAACACAAATGACCCAGATTCAAAATGCAAACATGCATGCAATTATGCGACGTGCACTGGTTGTGTGTTGATCCTATGTAGGCGGTTTAATTAAAAAACAAAAGGAAACCTTAGTTAATTTTCTAAATGAGCGACAATATCCCGCGTAATAATAAGCACAAAATGTTGTAACGTTATAGTATAAAAGTGGAATAAACTAAAAATGATGCCTGTGGTTAAGCCAGAAAATATATGGCAAATATACTTGTAAAGTATAAGATTTACTTACCAACAAATTCCACGGGGATTGTTTTACCCCTTTCTGTGTAAAAAATACATGGATTGTAGCACATCATAAACATAGGATTTAGTTGTTCCTACGATTTTTTGATTAGTTGCACAATTATAATACTATAGGTTACCCAGTTGATGTCAACATATTTCTGTCGTCAAAAATCTCCATGTTTCCGAATGCAAATTGGGGTAAATTAATCGAAATTAATTCCCCCACAGTTTATTGATGAACACTAACGTTACCGCCTAACACAAGGTTAACAACGTAGAGGCTCTGCGCATTTATTTAAACTACCGAGACAAATGCTTGCGAACAGGAAATAAACAAGTGGTAAGTTTACTGCATGTAATCTTTTCATCAGTTTAAACTTTTCTCGTTTGTAACATGGTACGAATATATGCATCAGGTTGTATTACGTCGTATGGCTTATCTTATTTTGAATGTGAATATGACTAGAATTGCTTTGCGTATTCCACTGTCATTGATAGGAGGACATGCTGTTGATCTTTTTCTTCGTGGAAGCCAAACCTGTTTCATGACTTCCATTTACAGTACTTATATGGTATACATATGCTAATTTAATAGCATACTTAAAACGTTTATGACAGTAAATCCACAAATGACCATTGCCTACACATAAAGTTTGTGAGCAAACAACCAAAACACCATGCACGCGCAGTGCATAATGCAGGAAAATATGATTACGTAATAAACTACGCAAGATATTATCTTACAATTTCTACTCTTGACAAGAGGTCCTACTTGCTGTGCTTGCACTCGCAGATGCGCATTCAACTATAGCAACGGTCTGCGTTTTTCGTCCATTTCCTATTCTACTTTGCAATTCTGACGCGAGCGTTCCGACTGATAGCGGCCGTTTTCTTTGTATGTACCTGCCGCTATCAACCAGTTTGTCCACTCGGGACATACGAGGCCAAATAGTGCGTGTTATATTTGTGTATATTTGCGTGTACAAGTGGCCCCACTTATCAGTGCCACACGCACATATGTAATAACGCAATGATTTCGATCGCCGCAATTCCACATTTGCCAGTGGGCTGCTTCTTGTACTTTACCCCTATTCGCTAAACGTGATCGTTCATCCTACCGGCGTGGGTTGTAGTTCACTGAGCTATTGCCCACTCATAGTAAAGTAATGTCAGTTTTCCAACTGCTCATCTGCACTTTTGATTGTTGACAAACGGACGATGATACCCCTACTTGAGCGTATCAGACGCAGGCATTGAGAATATAAAAAGCTTAAAATGCTGTTTCGTTTTATTATGTACTTGATGTTATGTAAATAGCAACATACACCTTGCATCCAACTTTTTTTGAATTATTCGGCACCGGTTGGTACGCGTATCACATAGGCATCGTTTTAGTCAGTACAGTGTTCGTTTTGACTTATTTGCAATGCTAATCACCCGCTGATCTTTGTTGACTAAGTAGTGTAATAAATCAATTAAATCCCGTTGACACAGTCTTACACTATAGCTCTCAGGTTAGCTCTCAAGATGCAATTAATGATACGCTCTCCGCATTTCTGCTTGCTGAGTTGAAAGAAAGTCAATTCACGGAGGGGCTGGAAATTACCGTTAACGAACAGAAACTAAACAAACAGCGCATATTATTGAAGGCAAGGTGGAAGGAAGAATTCCGTCAATGCAATGCCTTGCTGAAAAACGAACAACGCGACGTAGAGTTCCACATTCTTCCAAGCTACTCGTCAAATAGAGCTGAAGAGTTTTTCACAAAACCACATGGTGAACTTCTAGCTCGGTTTGATCTTCTCTGGGTTTACCTGTTGACCCTGTTCAGTTATCGCTATTTAAAATTTCCATTACCGAAAGAAGTTACTTCTTCAGTGCGTCGCTAAGTCAGTTGTTTTCCTGCTGCTGCAAAACAGCCAGCCGCCTGTCGTTACCTCAACCTTTGTTCGACGCATCTGAGACTACGATGAGAAAAGCCGCAGCCTCGGCCCTTGTCACAATGATTACAGAAACTGGTCTCCTCTGTCTCTAACGGACCAACGGTGCCAGGGCCCCGTTGTCACTACAAACATGACACAGTGAGTATGATAATCTTCCTCAGATAAACTACCGGTGTTTACAAGATTTGACTAATTTGCCATCCCTCAAGTTTACGTGCTGTCTTTATTCATCTTTACCAATCAAAAGTTCTTGGTTTCCCTATTAATGTTTTGAAAAGTGAAAAACCAAATTTGTTTAGCCTCCAATCAAAACCACTTAAAATTTCTTGGCATCGTAACTCTGAGGAAGCACTGCGCGTTCGATATTAACACGTTTATACACGCGCAGTAGATCGGTGTCTAATTATAGACAATGGTTACATGGATTGGAAATCCTTACGTTTGCAAACCGGAGTGGAATTAAATATATGATGCAATTATGTGATTGCACCAGTTGCATATTGATGGGATGTAGGCTGTTTATTTATAAAGCAATGGTAAATCTCGTTTAAGTTCGCACATCTGTAAAGTTATACTACATAACTCTAAAGTTAAAACTTCAAGATATATGATAGCAGCAGATAAAAATGACGCTTGTAGCGGAAGTTGTTAAATATTGGGTATCGGGTACTCAGTATATTGCAGTAAGTACATACCAGCAGCTAACGGAGGGACTGCCGGGCCCACATCTGTGAGAAAATAAACGGGTTGAAATTATTTACGATACATAAGATCACGTTGTTCACAAGTTTTGCTCCTTACATGCACAGTTGGAACACATGCCTAGTTTACTTATATGACGCCATACATATCTTTCATTAAATGTTGCTGCATTTTGCCGAATGTGAATGAGTTATTTTCATGACGATTCATTCGCTTACCTTTTGACCACAAACACCAACATCAAGAACACCTAGGAAGTTGACTTCTTTGCTTACGATCTCATACAATTTGACTGATCAACCTATTTATCGGTTTGTGTTTTGCATATTCTTTCAACACACGCTGCTAATTTTGGCTCTTCGCAGTCACGTAAACTGCCGACAGATTCGTTTGCAAATCGCAAATAAAAAAGTAAAATAATGGCTTGTATATTTTTATGCCTTAAATATTTTCTTATTTAAAACATGTTGGTTCTTTATGTCCCAAGTTTAATTATATTGGTTGGTCTTTACAATGGGTATGCGATTCTTCTGGGAGTTAATATTGCGTTTAAGATAACGGTGCATGGGACTACGTGCTATTGCTTTTGTCTTTCCTGGGTGTCAATCGTGGGAGCAAAGTTTCCGTTTTATTATGCGCCTGCCATGCTTTAATTGCCTTAAAGGTTTCATTAAATCATTTTTACGAACAAAGCTACTGGTATTCATTGGTTTACTGAAAGTTTGTACGTACACCGCAAAAAACCATACTTTCGCAGCATCCAGTTAATACAACTAGCGTTTCCTTATTACTCTCATTTTATACAATGGTTGTAACTATCAAAATACCGCTTGACTTTAGTTCACAATTATTGGCTTTCTTCTGATCCAAATATGAGCAGCTCCCTTACCTTTGATTAAGTAATTGGATTAAAGAAACCCCAGTGGAGCTACATTGTAGTTGGTTTCACTAACCTATGCTTGCATTTTGAAACTGCGGTCAATGCATTTGGATTAGAACCAAATATTCCCTTATTCATACAAACACGCATAATAGCGGGTTTTATTATCATCTCACTGTGTCCAAGCCTTTCGAATGTGATATATTTAGGATGATTTTATGGTGACCATGTTGTTACGTATCATCTTTGTCGGCAGTAATCGTTTACTACTAAATGTTTAATTAAAATCGTGTCCGCTGCTTCCGGTATAGTGCATAATAGTGCAAAGTACATAAACCGGAAATTTGAAATAGCGTACTAGCCTGAATTGGGAGTGTACTGCGGGTACAAGGTCATAGGGCTTTTCAGACGATTAAAGACCATTTGCCGCATTTCGCTCTTATTGTTAGTTGGCGAGCTACAGATGCTGATGTGTACAAATGCACATGATGTTCTTCGGAGTAGGGCCAAATGGAATCAAAAGAGCATTCAAAAGTGTGCGCACGAGAAATTTTACTAATTACATGGTAAACTTTTACAAAGATTTGAATTGCTTAGTTAAGCACATCAGGATGACTGCATGAGTGGAACGCAGTGCCATAAGTGGTTGCACGTTTTTCAACTCTTAAAATGTTTACCAGTGACAAACTTATGCCTGGGGGACCTACAAAGCAATAGACGATGAAGACGTCGATATGGTTGATGCTTTCTTCGGTGAAAATCGCTGTTTAGCTGTTAGAGAAGTTGCTGACGTAATAGGCATCAACGTATGAGCGTGCCATCAAATTTTGTGTAACAAACTGGTGATGCCTAGTATCCGTGCATAGTTGGTGCCACGTTTCTTGACTGAAGAAGAGAAACAGAACCTTGTTGAAATGAGCCAGTAAGTGTAAGCCACTGTCAAACGCAATGAAATCCTTCCTTAAGACTATCATACGAGGCGTTGAGACGTAGGTTTACGGCCGCAATGGATGCGGAAAGGGCATCCTCATGCAAAAAGCATACATAAGCATACATTTCTTCCATGGTTAAAATTGACAAAAATGGCGGTGACAATCACGCCTAGACTGAAGAGAAATTGGAACTGCGAACCTTTATGTCGACGCAACAAAAATCGACAACAAGGATTCAGCGGGTAATGTCTGTAACGCTGATTATGAAGATGCATGCGAACTTGACGAATTTAAAAAGCATCCCCCATTTGGCACGATAACACGCACATCAGTCGATTGTACGAATGTCTGTCAGTCGCCTGGTAAAATTGGTCATGAAAATCTCGCTATGATAGTCCGGCTTGGATCCACTGTCGTGCAGCACATCGATCATAAAGTAAATGAGTGTTTCTACCTAGAGTGAATACAACAGCTAGAGCTAATAAATTAAAAGCAAATCTAATTTTCAAGATTTGCAAAACAATGAGCAGAGATGGCGAAAACGCTGCAGGATATTTTCAACAGGCAGGTACATTTTTCTACTGATGTGGGTTTCAGAAACTGGTGGAAAGGAAGTCCAAAGACATTTGAACACGTAAATATCATAGTGCATGCTTTACCACCCCTCCAACTCAAGTAACTAGCGATGCAGATAGTTAAAAGGAAAGCTAATGACTAACAAAAGTAGGTATCACTTGTATTAACGCGGTAGCGTGATATTCAAACCAGGATGCTTGTTATCGTCAGGTTTCTTTTCCAAAGAACCTGTTACTCCGTGGTTACTGATATGACATCCAGGGTGACAAAAAGTGCAACGAAAATAGTGGTAATATTTCAGCTTTTATCCATTTCTTAGTCAAGTGTGAACACGCTCTGCGCAAGACTTTGATATCAGTTCTGCCGGGGAACATTCGGCACGTTTCCTTTGGTTCTGCAAGTTCAAAATGAATTAGGGAGCATTTCGCTAAAGCAGATGCAAAAGAGAATATCTGCATCACGTTAAGGCAAAAGCATGTATGTTTGCCTAAAGTTTACGCGCTCGCTTTTTACTACCAAAATTAGATGATCTAAACGAAAGTGACTGCATTAGAGTCGATTCTAGGCTACATTGGGAGCAACAACCAAACAGCCGGTAAAATTGCTGGATGGGCCTTGAGAGACACTACCGCGGCCACGCCTTAGCATTGCTGCTGCTATGGCTTGCAACCAACCTGGTGTGCAAAGGAAATTTTACCATTCAGAAACTATTCCCCGAATCTGGCTTCTGTTCATGTAGCTTCACTGCAGTTCAATCTGTTACATCTGGTAGAATAGACCGGATAATATTATTCCTTTTTCGCATCTAAACGTTGCTGGCATATTTTGATTCCAGTCACCGGTGTAAGTATAAAGTGGTTGTAAAATCTGGATGGAGTAGTTGAGCAGGCTCCATAAATTTTGTGGTACAGAAATACGCGGAAATTAACTTATCGGAAACATTTCACCCAATAAGGAGAATATGCAACCACAAGATAAGATGCAGTTTTAGTTTTAACGGATGGATGGAGAACAATCACTTGATATATGAATATGACTTGATGCGGAGTTTAAAGGAAAAGATTGTCTGTCGCAGACGGTATGACTGATGTGTTTCCGTAGTTTTACCAAATTATTCACCATGCAAATCAATGTGTTTTTCTTACGCCGTTCAGCATTCTTGAGAACAACTAGGGTTGTCCGTTTTGCAAATTTGCCGAAGATACAAAACACAGGATATTTGTCAAAACACCAGATTACATTTTGAAAGCTTTTGCTAACAACCTAATAAATAGCTATTCTGAAATTTTAAACTTCCCTGAGAAATAATACCTTGGAGAATCTGCTTCGCGCCTTTCATATCCGACCCATTGGCTTTACCAGCTAGGAGAGCGTAATCGTCACACCCAAACTTATGTCAATCTGTTTTCAAAAAGCAGTGAACCACGCATAGTTATTCCTCCTTTGCAATTTGTTAACTGACAGAATCCGGTTAAGCTTGTCAATACTGTTGCCTCAAGTACGGCACAAAAATTATATCGGCAATTGTTCTACGCGAGTATTGTAACAATACAAATACAATACCTTTGTTCACAGCACCACGATAAAATTATATTTGTGATTGTTGTTATATGAAAGGAAATATTGAATTGCATCCGCCATTGTGGGGTTTACGTATTAACAAATTCCAGCAGACGGCGAATCTACAGCTGCCCTGGGCAACGTAAGTAGTTGCTAAGCCAGTGATGTAACACATACTATATACTCGCATGTGCTCCGCTGCCCCATCTTTGTTATTTCTCTATCGTGATGGTACTGTTTCTATTGGTGTGCACCTTTACGCAACGACCATCTTTTCTAAAATTTACTGAAGACGCTTTGCTAAAATTCTGGATTGATTGCACAATTAGACTAGTTGGTCACTCGCCCAGCTGGTCACGTGCTTATTCTCTTGACTAGGTGCCACTGCAAACATTGTCTCAGTGGATAGGTTTTATTCGGGGAATGGCAATCAAACTGCTTTGCATGGTTGAGATCCCCTTGACATGATCACATTTTCAGGCTAAGCGGAATCTGCTCTGATTTTCACGGAGCGCTGCGTATCATTCCATTTGCCATATTTCAACCAGTATGATAGCATTCTACCCGTAATTGATTCCAGCCACCATCAACTGGCAATAGTTAACACGGCAATATAGTTCCTTGAAATGTTACGGAGCAATGTTTTCTTTTATCGGTACGAGTAGAATATTTTTATTGACTAGATAGTTAGCCGCTAAATGGTATGTGTTGTCGTAAGTATATTTGATCACGTTTGCCTACACACCCACACAATGTAAATATCTTAAAGGATAATTTCACAAAACGGATTTCCAAAACAGCACAGTCCAGGAAAGCTTTGTTTCTGGATACCGCGTTTCTCAAATTGCGGTGGTCAGTTTCTGGATTTGTCGCCATTTGGATTTCGCCTTAACCAACTAGCAATAATTCCGGATTCCAGCGTGACATAAACATAAATAAAGGCAGTAAAAAGCATTAGATAAGTAGCGGAAAAGAACTCACAAGCTCTTGATATTTAAAAAAGAATTTTCGAGGATAGTAGGCTAACAAATCCAAAAACGCACTTACCCGTTAAAGCTACCAGTGAGAAAAATTAGTT